TGGCATGGTACCTTACAAAGCTGGCTAGGTTGATGTTAGCCTGCATGGCACCTTATAAAGCTGACTAGTTTGATGTTAGCCTGCATTACATCTTATAAAGCTTGCTAGGTTGATGTAAGCCTGCATTACATCTTATAAAGCTGGCTAGGTTGATGTAAGCCTGCATTACACCTTAAAGCTGGCTAGGTTGATGTTAGCCTGCATGGCACCTTAAAAGCTGGCTAGGTTGATGTTAGCCTGTATGGCACCTTAAAGCTGGCTAGGTTGATGTTAGCCTGCATGGCACCTTATAAAGCTGTCTAGGTTGATGTTAGCCTGCATTACATCATAAAGCTGGCTAGATTGATGTTAGCCTGAGTGGCACCTTTAAGCTGGCTAGGTTGATGTTAACCTGCATTACATCATAAAGCTGACTAGGTTGATGTTAGCCTGTGTGGCATGGTACCTTACAAAGCTGGCTAGGTTGATGTTAGCCTGTGTGGCACCTTTAATCTGGCTAGGTTGATGTAAGCCTGCATGGCACCTTTAAGCTGGCTAGGTTGATGTAAGCCTGTGTGGCACCTTTAAGCTGACTAGGTTGATGTAAGCCTGTGTGGCATGGTACCTTACAAAGCTGTCTAGGTTGATGTTAGCCTGTGTGTGGCATCTTAAAGCTGACTAGGTTGATTTTAGCCTGTGTGGCATGGTACCTTACAAAGCTGTCTAGGTTGATGTTAGCCTGTGTGTGGCGTCTTAAAGCTGACTAGGTTGATGTTAGCCTGTGTGGCGTCTTTAAACTGGCTAGGTTGATGTTAGCCTGCGTGGCACCTTTAAGCTGACTAGGTTGATGTTAGCCTGCATTACATCATAAAGCTGGCTAGATTGATGTAAGCCTGTGTGGCACCTTTAAACTGACTAGGTTGATGTTAGCCTGTGTGGCGTCTTTAAACTGGCTAGGTTGATGTTAGCCGGCGTGGCATGGCACCTTATAAAGCTGGCTATAGGTTGATGTTAGCCTGCATTACACCTTAAAGCTAGCTAGGTTGATGTTCGCCTGTGTGGCACCTTAAAGCTGGCTAGGATGATGTTAGCCTGTGTGGCACCTTTAATCTGGCTAGGTTGATGTAAGCCTGCATGGCACCTTTAAGCTGGCTAGGGTGATGTTAGCCTGTGTGGCACCTTAAAGCTGTCTAGGTTGATGTTAGCCTGCATTACATCATAAAGCTGGCTAGATTGATGTTAGCCTGCATGGCACCTTTAAGCTGGCTAGGGTGATGTTAGCCTGTGTGGCACCTTAAAGCTGTCTAGGTTGATGTTAGCCTGTGTGTGGCATCTTAAAGCTGACTAGGTTGATGTTAGCCTATGTGGCATGGTACCTTACAAAGCTGGCTAGGTTGATGTTAGCCTGCTAATGCTGGCTAGGTTGATGTTAGCCTGCATGGTACCTTTAAGCTGGCTAGGTTGATGTTAGCCTGCTAATGCTGGCTAGGTTGATGTTAGCCTGCATAACATCTTTAAGCTGGCTAGGTTGATGTTAGCCTGCATGGTACCTTTAAGCTGGCTAGGTTGATGTTAGCCTGCATTACCCCTTAAAGCTAGCTAGGTTGATGTTAGCCTGCATTACACATTAAAGCTGGCTAGGTTGATGTTAGCCTGCTAATGCTGGCTAGGTTGATGTTAGCCTGCATTACATCATAAAGCTGGCTAGATTGATGTTAGCCTGTGTGGCACCTTTAAGTTGGCTAGGTTGATGTTAACCTGCATTACATCATATAGCTGGCTAGGTTGATGTTAGCCTGCATGGCACCTTTAAGCTGGCTAGATTGATGTAAGCCTGTGTGGCACCTTTAATCTGGCTAGGTTGATGTAAGCCTGCATGGCACCTTTAATCTGGCTAGGTTGATGTAAGCCTGCATGGCTCCTTTAATCTGGCTAGGTTGATGTTAGCCTGTGTGTGGCATCTTAAAGCTGACTAGGTTGATTTTAGCCTGTGTGGCATGGTACCGTACAAAGCTGGCTAGGTTGATGTTAGCCTGCATTTCATCATAAAGCTGGCTAGACTGATGTTAGCCTGTGTGGCACCTTTAAGCTTGCTTTGTTGAGGTAAGCCTGTGTGGCACCTTTAAGCTGACTAGGTTGATGTAAGCCTGTGTGGCACCTTTAAACTGACTAGGTTGATGTTAGCCTGTGTGGCATCTTTAAACTGGCTAGGTTGATGTTAGCCTGCGTGGCATGGCACCTTATAAAGCTGGCTAGGTTGATGTTAGCCTGCATTACACCTTAAAGCTGGCTAGGTTGATGTTAGCCTGTGTGGCACCTTTAAGCTGGCTAGGTTGATGTTAGCCTGCATTACACTATAAAGCTGGCTAGGTTGATGTTAGCCTGTGTGGCACCTTTAAGCTGGCTAGGTTGATGTTAGCCTGCATTACACCTTAAAGCTAGCTAGGTTGATGTTAGCCTGCATTACACCTTAAAGCTGGCTAGGTTGATGTTAGCCTGTGTGGCACCTTTAAGCTGGCTAGGTTGATGTTAACCTGCATTACATCATAAAGCTGGCTAGGTTGATGTTAGCCTGCATGGCACCTTAAAAGCTGGCTAGGTTCACACCAAGAAATTGCAATAGCTTAATTGGAATATATGTTTCACAAGCAGGCTACTTTAACTAAGCAGGCCCTACGTTTACAAGCTTTTAACTTTATCCAGTAGACTTGTTTACGAAACATGTTTGTTGTTTCAACTATGTTTACCAAAGAGAGCTCCACACTTTGATCTAAAGCCGCTTTTTTAGACTTTGAGTAATGGTCTCTTTTATAATTGAATGATGCAAAAACAAAAAGGATTTTTTTTTCTGCCGAAAGTTACCTCCCCTGTCAAAATGTTCATCTCTCATTTTGATGATTTAATAATAATTTGCATGTGTGCTCTTTGTTGATGGCGTCACCTCTCGGCACAACTTATTCAGGTAAACCATTTGCATTACCAAATCTCCACTGATTGAAGTGCCAATTATTGGCATATATTTATAACAAAGAGAAGATATTTATATCTTAAATCCTGCTGTCAACCAGTCGAAACAATTTCAAGCTTTAATTATTCTTGTTTATATAATTTACATGAAGGCCCAGAGGGCCTGCAGCACCGACATTGGCCATTACCATCTGTAAGCTAAATATACTGTTTTTCAGACTAACATGAGGCTTATAACCACTAAACAATTTCTTTGACACGCGTCTTTTGAAGACAAGATTAATTTTATCCAATTCAATACTTCATTAACATGTACTTTGATTCCAAAATCACGTAGAATATTTCAACGTGATGTTTAGCAGTCAGAGACGAATTATTAAGGAATGTAAATTTGTTCTTAATGAAACCTTTGGCACATATATATATCGTAATTATTTCAGCAATGCCCTTGATGTTTCTTGCTGATCTCTTTAGATTCATACCCTACTTCAGTGTATCTTATCACGATCATCCTCCCCTGGAGATTGTGATTGGATGTAAGAGCTACAGCGACCTAGATTAGCTCCCTCCTACGTATACACATCCCACACCTAAAGGCTATAGATGCAGAAGGTCCTTCTCTGATGTGTACTATCAGATCTATCAAGGGAAAAACTAGATCTAACGAACTCAGAATATCCTCAAAACTGTCCCTGTGGCTAGAAGGCACGGTTTGATGACAGTTCTGTTGTCTGAGTAGGAAATCCCTGCATGATTTCTGTCAACAAACGTATCCTTCATTTGTTCACCCTGTAATCTATGTCTATCGGTGCCTCTAGGCACTCGGAGGCTTTTTTCAAGTACACAGCAATCAATACTTGTCTATACTAACATTCCCAGTTCCAGATGGATACCAAGCATGATTAGTCGACAGCTTCAATAATTGTTTTTTTTATTCTAAAAAAAACATACCTTCATTTTCAAATATTTTTTAACTATTTTTTTTTTACAATGGCTATTATCCAAGCCATTCAGTTCAGTCAGATCAGTTGAGTGTTGGGTATATATTGTCACACTACAGATTCCAAAGACTCGATACATCACTTTACGCTAGAACCCGTAAGGACAACAGTAGAGGAGGAAAGAGGTAACCGTTACAAACATGCAGTTGAATATATTTTTCCAGTGAAATAATAAACATGTTACAGAGAAAATAAAGATATTTTTCTACTGCATTAATTAACACTTTTATTAATTTCACACAAAAGCAAATTAGTGACCAATTAGAGAGCAGAATTTAATTTGAAAAATAATTAACTGTTGTTGATTCTTTTTGTTTATTTCATCTTTATTGATTTTTCATGAAAGTTTCAAAAAAGTATGTTTTTTTCTTTTCAGCAATAATTTATCATGCTGGGAAAAGTGTTCAATGTATGGTAACACTTTTTTGACTGTAGTATATATATATGAGGATCCTGAACTCATTCACCCCTGAAGTTTCATAATGAACTATTTCAACCTTTGAAATGGAAGAGTTCAAATGTGCCTTCAGGGTTGAATGAATTATAAAATGACCTATAATTATAAATGTACACTCATGCAGTTAAAACCAAAAATCAAATCTTGGATAAATAAATCCAGCAAAATTTGTTTAGGACACGGATTCATCTCACAGAATCTGATAAGAATTTATCATCGGAATCTATGATGTGTTTGAACTTCCAGACAGTCATCTCTTAGTGCTTCGACTGTGCATGTACATCAATATAAAAACAACCACAAAAATATGAATAAAACAAGCCATTCTTAGTTGACCATCAATGCACATATCAGAGACACTAACTTAAACGCAAAAAACAAATGTTGATGGAGATGCTGACAAAGTCAATGGACCATGAACGGTAGGCTGCATCCAGCATTTGATGCATAGATTGATGCAAGATGCATCTATGGTCAAAGTTTGGTGGGTGTAGCACTTATACTTTCAGAGAAACGCAAAAACTTAAAGTTGAGTCTTGCTTACACTTCATGGCAGCGAGACAAAAATAACAAAATTACGAAAATAAATTTCTTACCTTTTCCATACAATGTTTGTCTCTCTTGTCTCTTTCTACACTTTCCAGGGGAGGAGTAACATTTCAGAGGTTTAAATCCACAATGTTATATCACTGTTCTCCGAATAACATCCAACTTTTTAACTCACCACACTGAAACAGAAAGAAAGATCTTACTTAAATACAAAGGAACAATTATCTACGTATGTACACACACTTAGGTAGGTTATTTCTGTGAATTGCCCAATTTTCATTGATTGTACGTATTTTCATTTATATCGTATAAATTGAGACTGAATTTATATATGTGCTGATTTCATGATTATACCTCCTCTATAAATGAATACAAAACAAAATACCTTATTTCCAAAGAAATCCAGTCTGTCTGAAAAAACGTATTTCACAAGACTATAGAAAAATATGTATATTTTCATGTATATATATATGTTCGAATTCATAGAAAAACAATCAGAATGATTGTCAAAGGTAATAATATAAAACTTGGAATTTTTTTGTGAATGATTAATGCGTACTTGATCAGGAAATTATATGACATGTAACATTTCCTATGATTGCTTAACCTACACTTATATGGATGCCACCAGGATTTATATAAATGCAAATTATTATTAAAATCATCAAAATGAGAGATGAACATTTTGACAGGGGAGGTAACTTTTCGGCAGAAAAAAAAATCCTTTTTGTTTTTGCATCATTCATATAAAATGGAAAACCCACAAAAACAAAACAAAAAGCCCCATGACGTATTTTGAAACGTGAAGAAAACCTAAGTTAACTAGAACAGAAAGAAACTACAATTGTACTATATATAACTCAGTACTCTATGTTGAATCATTTCTTTGAAACCCTCAATTGATGATAGCAGACCAAACAAAGTGCTGACACTTACGTACATACATGCCAGCTGGGCCCACTTGTATAAAACATCTCAACTCTGGAGATTAATACCTCAAGTCTAAGATTTCCCATAGACAATACGAGGCAATATTAGTTCATTATTAAATTTCAGGGGTGAATGAGTTAAAGATGCACAACGTTTGGTATCATATCTCGCATCTCATTATCCTTATAAACACCACACCTACAGCCAATTTTTTAAAAGCCCTGGGCGTTAATTACGGCAAATACGGTATATGGCTAAAATATCTTACAAGAGGTCAATGAGGTCTATATTGAATGGTCAACTTTTTTTTTTATTTGTTGTAGCATGCATGTAGCCTTTAACTTTCCAACTTAATTTGAACAACAACAAAAAAGTTAAAAAAAGTAATTAAGCATTAATTTACTTGTACTTTTATGACCAAATTGATGGCCGTTCTAATTTTAACAAAAATAAAATCATCACAAGCGGGGAACTTTTTTTGTTTTTTAATTTTTAAAATAACAACGTAAATTGATATTACCACTAAGTGCAATGATCAAAAAATGAAAATTATATTTATAACAGCTGCCATTAAAACAATTTGAAGCAGAATGTGAGAATCTTGCAGTTTTAAAATGTCTCTGCAGCCAGATTCAGATCAGAGGCCAAACAATTGCAACTGGTCATCTCTAGACTCTAAATTGACCCAAATAATAACAACAATTATACCTGTAGTTGAAGACCCCCAAATAATAATCAAACTTATCACAAAATTTCAGCAGCATATTACACAAACTACACATAATTAGCAAGTGTAGTAAATAAATTGTGTATTATGTACAAGTGTAGTAAATAAATTGTGTATTATGTACAAGTATAGTAAATAAATTGTGTATTAAAAATTGTCCAAGTATAGTAAATAAATTGTGCGTACAAGCATAGTAAATAAATTGTGTATAATGTACAAGTATAGTAAATAAATTGTGTATTATGTAGAAGTATAGTAAATAAATTGTGTATTAGAAATTGTACAAGTGTAGTAAATAAATTGTGTATTATGAACAAGTATAGTAAATAAATTGTGTATTATGTAGAAGTATAGTAAATAAATTGTGTATTATGTAGAAGTATAGTAAATAAATTGTGTATTAAAAATTGTCCAAGTATAGTAAATAAATTGTGCGTACAAGCATAGTAAATAAATTGTGTATTAAAAATTGTACAAGTATAGTAAATAAATTGTGTATTAAAAATTGTACAAGTATAGTAAATAAATTGTGTATAATGTACAAGTATAGTAAATAAATTGTGTATTATGTAGAAGTATAGTAAATAAATTGTGTATTAAAAATTGTCCAAGTATAGTAAATAAATTGTGCGCACAAGCATAGTAAATAAATTGTGTATAATGTACAAGTATAGTAAATAAACTGTGTATTATGTACAAGCATAGTAAATAAATTGTGTATTAAAAATTGTCCAAGTATAGTAAATAAATTGTGCGTACAAGAATAGTAAATAAATTGTGTATAATGTACAAGTATAGTAAATAAATTGTGTATAATGTACAAGTATAGTAAATAAACTGTGTATTATGTACAAGCATAGTAAATAAATTGTGTATTAAAAATTGTATAAGTGTAGTAAATAAATTGTGTATTATGTACAAGTTTAGTAAATAAATAGTGTATTATGAACAAGTATAGTAAATAAATTGTGTATTATTTACAAGCATAGTAAATAAATTGTGTATTAAAAATTGTCCAAGTATAGTAAATAAATTGTGCGTACAAGCATAGTAAATAAATTGTGTATTATGTAGAAGTATAGTAAATAAATTGTGTATTATGTACAAGTGTAGTAAATAAATTGTGTATGATGGACAAGTATAGTAAATAAATTGTGTATTATGAACAAGTATAGTAAATAAATTGTATATTATGAACAAGTATAGTAAATAAATTGTGTATTATGTACAAGCATAGTAAATAAATTGTGTATTATGTGCAAGTCTAGTAAATAAATTGTGTATTATGTACAAGTATAGTAAATAAATTGGGGATTATGAACAAGTATAGTAAATAAATTGTGTATTTTGTACAAGTATAGTAAATAAATTGGGGATTATGAACAAGTATAGTAAATAAATTGTATATTATGAACAAGTAAATAAATTGTGTATTATGTACGAGTTTAGTAAATAAATTGTGTATTATGTACAAGTTTAGTAAATAAATTGTGTATTATGTACAAGAATAGTAAATAAATTGTGTATAATGTACAAGTATAGTAAATAAATTGTGTATTATGTGCAAGTATAGTAAATAAATTGTGTATTATGTATAAAGATAATGACATTATTTCCTCTGAACTTCAATGCTCAATACTTTTGGTTTGTTTATGTTTTTACTCCTATAACAGCTATGGTTATTTAAGGACGTGCCAGGTTTTGGTGGTGGAGGAAAGTCGGAGTTCCCGGGGAAAAACCACTGACCTATATACGGCCAGTACCTGGCGACTACCCCACGTAGGTCTTGAACCTGCGACCCAGTGGTGGAGGGCTATAGTGGACCAGAATGTCAGCTCAATACACAGCTAATGATTTCTGCAATCTAACCCACGAAGTAATCCATGAACAAGAGGCCCAATGGGCCCGTATCACTGACACCTGTTATATATAATACGTTGGCCAAATTTTTATACGCCTGTATTTATATATATTGGCATTAGCCAAAAAATGAAATGTCTTGGCCAATCAAATTAGTAGTAATCATATCTGATTCTGTAATTTAACAAACTTGATTAGAAAGCTCTTCAGAAATCCAGTATGAACACAGGATTGATCTTATAATAAATTGTCTCTAGATCTCTAAGTCCGTGGTTAATTAAACCCTTATCCTTCTGACCACGGCAGAAGAATGAACCCATCTGAGGCCACATATTACAGTTAGTGAAACAATTGTATTACCATGCAGCCTCAAATTGACTGCAAGCTTATAAATGTTACAGATTTAATTTCTATCCAGAAAAAGGCTGAATGTGCATGGTGTGTTTATGAACTCGTACACTAAAACTATTGTTACTAAATCAGAATCCACCTGCCTTTGAAAGGGGATTAAATATGGTCTAGGTTGAGTTTGTGGTTTGTTTGTGTTTTACGTCCTTAATTAACAGCTATGGTCATTTAAGCACATGCCAGGTTTTGGTGATGAAGGTAGCCGGAGTTCCTGGAGAAAAACTACCGATGCCGTGAATGGCCAGTACCTGGCGACTGCCCCACACACGAAGGCCTCGAACCTGCGACTCAGTGGTGGAGGGCTAGTGGTAGCAGAATGTCAAGACGCCTTTTAACCACTTAACCACTGGGTTGAGTACTACAAAGTGCTGTAGTATTCCTGTGGTATAATGTGTTAATTACATGAAACACTGACCCATAACAAGAAGAACACCTATACAAAGTCCAACACTATAGTGATGGGCTGTTGAACTTAAATGTCAAATGTTTACAGTGAAAAGTATATATGCATTGGAAGTCATTTGTTCTTAGGATCTTTACTATATGATTGATGGTGATGCAGAATAAGAAATCAAAACTGCATAAAAGTTGCTTGTAATCCATTCATCATAAAAGAACAAATCTAACTGTAAGTTAACAACTCCATTTATAGATGTAAAAATAGTGTTGTCACTTTATTTATAAACTCTATTTATTAACAACAATTATGAAACAAGTTTTTTCAACTTATATTAATCACTCTTGTTGGCCCGGATGTTCGCGCGTGGGGGGGTCTAAGTGTGGGAGGAAACTGGAGTACCCGGAGAAAACCGACGTGATCGGGCAGGTGACCCAACCTTTTCACGTCCGTTCGGGGAATCAAACCCCGGCCGCCTTGGTGAAAGGCATGTGGGCTATCCACTGCACCACCCGACCACCCAATTCGTCACTTTATTTGTGCATTCAGTCCTGTAAAATTGTAAACTGATTTTGTAATCGATCAGCAATCATTTTACTACTTCCAATATCGTTAATAGTTTTAAACCAATTGCCAGCAGCGTATACATCCAACACACACAGGTATCAACCCTCACACATAAGGTGCTACAAAATGTTGCAATAAAAGGTACATTTTAAAAGGCTGATGACTTTTTTGACAATTAGGACGTGTGCATGTATGTCCTTCTTCAAAAGTTTAATTGCACAGCTGCATCATCATTGCTGAGATTAAACATATATAAGCATAAATAAACGTAACATTTTTATACAGCTTCA